AACATCTAAATGTCTTAATATATAAAAATGTCTACATGCCCCAACCTTCTAACAGGTGACACATTAACTTTAATGAGGATTCCTTAAAACAAAGCCATTTGAAAGCACTTTTTCCAAATCATTTTCAAAACATGCATGGTCCTAGTGAATATAGCCAATATGGTTTGGTTTGATTTCAACAAGGGTTACTTCTAGGAACATAATCATGACCCCTTTAATCTAAGCTCTGAGACATAATTCATACATTTGATGCTCTCTCTTGCTAGCAAAAGGTCTTGGTGCCAAATTCGGTGTGTGTTTTCTAGTGGTTACTTGGAAAGTTCAAAGCGCAGCTGATTTGGTGGTCTATAAATATAGAAATATAGTTCCAGATGTTTATCTTTACATCACAACTGGTGGTGAGCTACTGTACGCACACACCACGCAAGATCAAGGCACAATTGGCAAAAGATCATCAGGCCAGGGCAAAGACTAAAGGCCCCCAACGCAGCTCGTTGCAGACATTTCCATCAGACCTCACCAGCAAAGTTCATTCACGTAAAGGAACAAGCACGTCATGAGTCATTTTTAGACTGAACAAAAAGAACAGAAGCTGCAGCTGGAGGGAAGGAAGTTTGCATGTGGGAAAGCGATGACCAATTATGATAAAATGAGTTTCGTATTTAGGCTTCTGATAGGCCACTGAGAAAAGTTGAAAGCCACAAACCACCCCTGGGAAGACTGACAAACGAGGCATGGGAGTGAGACCTTCTGGACGCTGTCCTGGGCAAACCACCGGGAAATGGACGGGAGTCAGGCTCTGGAATGCCACAATGTTCTCAAGAACTTCTAATCTTTCCCCTGGCAGCCCCCTGGGGGCAGCAGAATGGACTTTACTTAAATGCCATGCTTTTATTTTTGTATGAGGACTTGGCCATGGGGCACCTTTACCATTGCCCATCCCCCCACCCCCACATACACACAGGCAGCAGTATAAGGAGGTCCCTTTCAAAAATGATTCCAATGTGTGGGATTGTGTTTTTTTAAGTTCAAATCTAGGGTCATCAGGGCAATATCTCCAGTTGCATTTAAATTAACCTGTTTAAAGAGGATAATAAAGAAAGACTGCTTCTGGCTGCAGTACGAATGCTTCCGAAAACAGAGTTGCTTGAGTTCTTTTGGATCTTTTTGTCTTCTTCCTTTGATCAAGGGAACCCTTCTTTGCTCCTTGAGGCAGATCTGGAGTTACATATCTTGCGAATAATATTTTTCCAAAAGCTCCCCTTTCAGACCAGCAGCTGCTTCACAACTTCCTCCTTCTTCTTCTTCTGGGTACCGGTAGGTACAATCATCTACTTCCTGGGCTAACTGCCCATGTAAAGCTATGGAGCAGAAGGGAGAGAAATTAGATACCAAGCTCTATGCGCAGCTTCAGGACCTGTGCACAAGATTTACCTCCTGCTTCCACCACCCAGAAGTCCAGCTCCGTACAGGCTGATGTAGGAGTTCCAGTGAATAAGACCAACTCTTGATGGCTCAGGAAGGCAATGGCCACCTGCTGGGGTGACGACCAGCAGGAGATGCCTTCTCAATTCATCAGGTGGATAAACATTTCCGGGAAAGGCTTCCTGAGTTCTCATCTCAGAGGGAAGGAGTCATTTCCACAATCCCTGCCAACCTCAGCAAATCACATCAGAGCCATGGCTCCTCTTATCATCCCAAACTACCTCCTCCAAAACCCTAAATCTAATAAGTTTGGACCCATGACCCCACAAAGAAGTACAGTCTTCCTCGACTCAAATATGGTGGTGATTTGCTATTGCCTTTCAGGATGGATTTTTTTTTTTTTGGTCTGATCTACAGCCCTTGACAGTCTCCCAGCCAAAGAGTAACTAGATTGGATTCCACATGCTTTGCACATGGAAAGACTCGGATTCAGTCTCCATCAATGCCGGGCTGTAAAAATTGCAGGCAGCGAATGTTGCCAATGTGGAAGAGATGAGCTTAGTGGAAGAATCATGTGGGGGCACAGGAACTCTTCAGAGGCCAACAGCCTTGGCCCTCCAAAGGCATTACTCCACCAATGTGGACTTCTCTCTCTCTCTCTCTCTCTCTTTCTGTTGTAGCAAGAACACTTCATGCAACTTTTCAGCTGTGAGCACTGGATACCTCTTTACTTGAAGGTGAATGCAGAGAGCTTGGAGCACTCTCATTCTGCGCTGCTGTGGGGCTGAAGCATACACAGATGCTTGCCTGTCCTAGATGTCGTGGGGTGATTTACCTCCCTTCTAAGAGGCAGGCCCCACCACAGTACTCCTACTAAGAAGGTACAAAGTGCTGGGAGAGGAACCCCACAGAGAGTCATGGAGTGTTGTACCAAAAGAAGCAGCAAGTTCTCCTTACGTTTCAGGAACTTCCCTTGCATCCAGGATCGGAAAAAGGTGTAGACAAGCAGCATGGATATGGCAGATAGAAGGATGGCCATGACAAGAGCAATGCTAATGGGGATCAGTTGGCTGCCGGACTCTAAAAAGAAGCAAAAAACATCACTCAGAGACAATCCCAAAACTACAAGGGTTCCTGAGCTCAGAAAAGCTGAATTAAAATTCTTTCCATTCTGGACACCTCTGCAGGGTCCTAAACATTTTTTTTTTTTTTTTTTTTGCAGCCCAGGCCACCCTGCCAAATGGCCAACTGCCCGAGGCTGTCTATCCGTACCCTAAATAATAAATGTTGGGCCAGTAGTAATCCCGAGAGCTCAGAAAAGAAATGAATGGCTAAAACCTGCTATCCAGAGGGGATCCTTTGGACATGAAGAGCACCAGTTCCCAGCCAGTCCCCTCAAAACAATATTCAGGTGAATGTAGGGCTGTAACTCAGTGACTATGATCGGGGGGGGGGCTGCTCCAAGGCATATTTTGGAGCAGGGACTTTTCTCCCCCAATGCTCTTTGCTCATCAGCTGCCCAACAAGATGCCACAATGAGATGCTGTCATCACAAACCAAGGAAGCCAATTCAGGGGGGCTGCTTTGAGAACAAGAAGGCCGGTGAAGTATTTTTACAGTAAACTGGGTTTCTCTAAGAATGGGCATTGCTGACCACATCCCGCATTTGCCTTAAGCAATTTCTCCAACACAATATCTCCAATAGCAATATTTTCCTGTGGATGTTAGATTGTAAGCCTTCAAGTCAGTCCGGACTCCTGACAATGACCTGGACTAGTCCCTGCAGTTTTCTTGGCAAGGTTTTTTAGGAGCGGCTTGCCAGTGTCTCCAGAGCCCTGGCCCAAGGCCACGTGTCTGGCTTCGTGGCTCAGGGGGGACGAGGCCTCCCTTGGCTTCTAGCCTGCTGCCTTGACCACTACCCCAAACTGGCTCTTGTGTAGACCTGAGATATACAGCCTAAAATTAATTTCTCAGGGATGAGAAAAGGGAAGGAAATAAAAACAAAGAGACTCTTTCTACAAAGTCACATCTTCATGGTGATCAGTAGCAGCAGAAATAATCCTCAAGCAGTCAAGTGATCCTCAAGCAGTCAGAACCCCCAAAACCATCGGTCTGGGTGCCGCAGACAAACAGGTCCTCCAAACTCAGTAGTTACTGTTCGTGATCAGGTCCTGAGATTTGTACCAACACACTCCCTCTCCGTGGGGCAGCAACAGAGTCTGAGCAAGTGTGGAATATGTTTTTGCCCATCTCTGTTGCTACATACACAGAACTTGTGGGTTTCCTCACTTCTAATTTTTTATTGCAGTAGTTGCCTGATCAAGATCAGAACTCCCACATGGGTGGGTGGGTGGGTGTGGGAGGCCAACCCTTGATCTTGACAAGAAAGCCTAAATTGTGTGCCGCTGGGGAGAGGAGCAGCAAAAGAAAGACCAGAACAAAGGAGATGTTGCTACAGCCCTAACATCCACCTCATTTTCCAGAGATGAATGGCTGCCAAACCACAGGTTAGCTTACCAAGCACCTGGGTTCGCCAAACACATGGAACCATGGCTAGACTATGCGAGTCAGACAACTCATGGCTTCAGCTTCAGAGGAGTAGCTTTTGTTCCTAGTGCTTGCAAATACTAACTATGGGCTTCATGACAATTGTCCCTGTTTTTTCCAGACGTCTGGAAAAAAACCCTTTCTCTCTTGTAGACCATGAGAGTTACAACAAAAGAGCACCTATTTCCCATCCTCCCAACCCCCACCTTCTCACATGCTTCGTCACAACCTCGGCAGCAGCACACCCACAACATCTGGGGTTATTTTTAATCTTGATGATTAAATGATAACATAGGTTGCTGTTAAGTCCAGCCCATGTTGGGAGTTTATGCTTTCATGTAACATACAGGCCAGAAATTGGATACATCCAGGTTAAACAGGCTGTGTGAACGCAGGCACCCTGCCTCCTTCACTGGAAGGAAATTATGTTTGGCCATTTTTGCTGGGAAAAAATACTAAAGTAATTTGTTTTATAATGCTCAAACATTCCAGGACTGCATTCCACCACACACTTCATGCACTTTTTTATTTATTTAGCAGCCTTTCTAGATGCCCCAGTCACAAGACTTTGGGCAATGTATATCAGTCAATTAATTTTTGCGGCTTGCCCAATATATGTTGACCCAGAAACTAAAAAACAGGCTGAGTTTGCACAATCCCCTCAGAAAAACAATGAGCAAGTTTCAAACTAGCCAAGCCTTGCAGATCTTTGATCTGATTACGCATATTTTATGAAAACTACCGAAATAAACTCAGCCCATTTTTTAGTTTCTGGGTCAATATAAAAATAAAAAGAATTAGGAAGAAAGAGGCACATTTGCACAAGAAGCCAACAAGCCAAGAGCAGAAGCAGTGACATTCTTCAGTATGCTTTTAAACAACAAAGCAGTGGTACCACGGTTTGCATCTGGACCGGCCTTAGAACCTCAGCTGAAAAACAGCCTCCTTAGACATGGAAGCTGCTCAGAGTGCCTGAATGCAATTAAACAATTAATTCGATAAATAAATGTTCAAACAAGACATACCTGAAATCTTAGTAGAGAAGATAGATAGGGAAGTGGAGGACTGTGTGGTGGGGCTTTCTGACCCAAACCAACAAACCACATCTCGCTCCCTTGTCCCGGGTTTCCAAATCTTATCATCTGGACATCTGCAGGAATTGCCCAATGGTGTTAAAAGTCATGTTTTATGCTTGGGATTTAAAACTATATTATTTCAGAAGAACTTACTTTCTCCATGGGCGGCATTCACCTGTACGCTGGTCATTAAAGGTCTTCTCAGGACAATTCTGGCAACCTTGGCAAAGACACAAATAGGTTTCACTCCTGACGAGTCCAAGGCCCAAAGCAGCCTCACCTGCCCTTGGCCAACAACAGCGGCCTTGTGCTCCATCTTCTTCCGCTCAGGAGGTTTATACATCACACAGACCCACACAACAGCTGCCCATGGCAAGTGAAAATCCCCCAACTGCTGGTGCTCAAGAGAAGTTCTGTCCCCATAGTTGGGTGGGGGCAGCTTCTGCACAGCCGGATTGGACTTTTTTTCCAAAGCTTCAAAGCACCACAGTAGAACAAGCAAGCATCATTTACAGCTTATGTTAATTTATGTTAATTTTATTTTTACCCTTTGATTTTACTATGAATTGAATGACCCCATTGGAAGTCACTCAACTAACAGTGCCAACTTCTCCTTGCCATCTTTACTCCATTGCAGTATAGAGAGTCATTGTAATTTGTGGCCACCTTACCTCTAATTGTGCGCTGCTGTCCAAGGGGACATTCACACGCCTCACAATTTTTCCCACATGAATATCCAACGGCACATTCACAAACAGCATCGGCAGTTTCAGTACAATTCTGTTTGTACACCAAATTTCCTTAAGGGTTAAAATATTTTAAAGCATGTTATATCTGTGGAGAAGGCCATTCCCTTGTCCTCCAAAAGCAACTGGCTTTTGAGAGGGGTCTTAACAACAGATGCAAAAAGGCTCAACTTGCTGGAGACCCAAAACTGGGGAGCAACTGGCTGGCATTCTTGCTAGGTTCCAGTGAACACACAGAATGGTTTGCTAAGAGGCTAAGTGAATAACTCCAAGGGTGGGTCAATTTTGTTGCTAATTGGGAGTTCACTGCCCAATCCCAGCACCTGGCTCAGGGCAGCCTCACCACCTTCTCACTGCCATCGCACTGGCAAACCACCTTGTCCCAGCTAGGAGAATCAAGGCTGGGGAATCCCTGGAGCTGAGTGGACCCAGAGCTCTTCTGCCCTGCTCAGTTGGGCCTCCTCCTGCAAAGGTACCCAGGAGGAGAGTCGCTGGCACTTAAGGTTGGCAGGCTGGGGTTCCTCTCCATTGGCCAGGATGCAGCCCTGGGGGAGTCCGGCAGGACGGCGTTTGGGGGAGCCT